CCGCCCGTCGGCGGCACCGTGGTGCACCGTCACCCCGAGGGCCACGCCGCCCACTAAACGGGTGGCCTGCACGGCCAGCACGGCGGTGGGAAGCTGGCTCATGTCCACCTCCGGCACGAGCGCCTCGAGCACGCGCAGGTCGTGCTCCTCGTCGCCGGCCAGACGTCCGATGTCTGCGTCGCACTCGGCGACGACGAACCTGACGCCGTCGGAGGCGGAGCAGCTGATGCCGACGTCCCCCGTCTCCTCGAGGTGGACCAGCTTGCCGGCGAGCGGCACGAAGCTTTCCAAAGTCGCGGCGAGGGAGGAGCGGAGGGACTCGATAATGGCGTTGAATGGCGGCATGTCGTCGCCCTCGTAGAGCAGGACGTGCTGCAGCACGGGGAAGACGACCCAGAGCGCCTCCATGGCGGTGAACCTGATCGGCCCCGGCGGAGTCGCGGCGGTCTCCGGCACGCCCACATAGCTCGCGTCGATAATCCTCACGGGCGACATGGGGACGACAGAGCAGGAAGGTACCAGATCGAGAGCTGCGCGCTCGCCGGTGAGGATTATCGTGTGTGCGGACGACAGGAGCCGGGCGAACGGTGGCACGGGTGCACCGCGGCTTGTGTTTGGCAGTACGCGGGCGCGTCCTTGGCGCTCTCTCCTACTACTACTGGCAGTCGCAGTCGATCGACATGAAACAGTGATGAGAATAGGCGTGCACTGGCGCTAGGCGTGCCAGCAGTATGAATACTGGTGAACAGGAACGATTTTATGATCCAAGAGAATCCTCAGCTGGCCCACCCAGAGAGAGTGTCGAACCCAACCACGCAACCTGAGACACTCGTCAATCCCAGCTTTACTTTTTGTTTGACCAGCAACAGTGGGGACACCTCCCATTGCCATTTTAGAGCAAGTACAATAGAACTGAGTCAGCGGGCTATAAGAAATAAACTAGTATATTTCTGCTTAGTTGGAGGAAAGAGAAGAGGAAAAAGAAAGTAAGCGGGCTCTTCGTGAAGAGCCAGCTCTAGCACGTGCACCTAGGTACTTTGTGAGAATGAAAGGTGGGCCACATAATAAAAAAGTAGTACATTTTTTTTATCTACTATTGTACATGTTGGCTATAAGACGGGCTATAGGTGACATGGCACAGGCTTATAGCCAGCAGCTGGCTATACTATTAACCATGCTCTTAAGTAGTGTCAGCGATGACGTCATCTTCTTCAGATATTCTCACGTGTGTTGCTATTTGCATCCTCCACCGAACATTAATTTGAGCCGACTAATTTGAATTGACCCGAAAAGAAAAAAAAAGCATCACTTGAGTAGCTCATGGAAATTAGACTTGAACGCATCCATGTGTGCCGGTCGGAGCAGTGACAACGACACCTGCACCCCCCGGCCATCCCTGCTACGCATCAGGGCCACCTGACCGTCGTGGTTCATCGTGATCGGCTCCGTTCGCATCGGCTTCCCCGACGATCCCGATATGTTCATCATACGGCCCATAGAGGCATCAGCCATCAGCATGTAAAAGTTCCACCCGGCGACAGGGTCCTCCTTCACCTTGTGGATCCCGTCCTGCACCGTCGACGCCGCGGCTGCCAAGGCGCGGTCGCCACGAAGCTCCGGCACGGGGAGTTTCGATACGCACCCGGTAAGGCACGCACCGATGTACCCTTTGTCGACAGGAGGGACAAGGCGGCCGCGGGAGTCGGCGAAGAAGAAGAGTTGCGCGTCGTCCTCCAAGGAGGGCTTGCACCGGGCGGAGCACGTCCAAGCGAGCACGACGATGATGGTGAAAGTTGATGGCGAGTGAGGCAAGGGTGCGCCGTGGGATTCCCCTAGATTGACGATGCGTTGTTTTTTTACTTTTACTTTTTGTCTCTTTACATGTTGTGTCTCTCCGTTAAGACTTGGTTAAATCTCAGTCGACTAATATCTAGCCACACCCTATCATCAATTGTCAGGAAGGTTGTAAAATGTCCTGAGTCCATCTGCACATGAGCTCAGAAAATGATCTAGATTGGACGTCATGTTTCTCAGCCCGAGCTTAATAAATTCCAAAAGAATTGAAAATAATTCAAAAAATTCTGAATTTTTTTCGGAAAACATTGACAACTTTTCTAAATGCTTGCAAAATTATATCATGAAACAACAATCATGAAAGTCGTGGCAAAAAAAAACAATGGTTCAAAAGTGCTATTTTCGAATGCATTTTGGAGTGCTGATTTTGTTATTTTTTCCCCGACTTTCACAAATATTCTTTCACGATGAAATTCTGCAAGCAGCCACAAAAAATTTCAATGTTTGCCAAAAAAAATATGTTTTCATTTTTTTTGACTTTACCTCGTAGAATATGACTTTAGATCTAGATTTTCTTATATCAGTTTTTTTTTCTGGTGGATGGTGATAGCTGTGTTCTTGATCTAAAATATTGATTCCTCTGAGCCCACGAATATCTCAGTTCGAACTTCGAAGACAAAAAACACGGGATGACGATCCACAGCGCCTCCATCGCGGTCAGCTTGATCGGCTCCGGCAAAGGCTCGGTGGTTTCCGGCACATGGACGTAGCTCGCGTCGACGATCCTCACCTGCGACATGGCCGGCCGGGGCGACGGAGGTCGCAGTTGCCAGGTAGAATTGCCCGCTGGCAATGGCTAGCGTGTGGAACTGGGCACCACACGGATGCACCGCACCTTCCTTATATTTGGCAGTACGTACGCCAGTCGATGGGCAGGACATAGAAACCACACAGCTTGTGGACGGAGACGGATCGGACGAATTTCTTGTGGATAGTCCTCCGGCGAATTTGTGCCGCGCCATGATAGTGCTATGACACCTAGTACGCAAAGATAAAGGCCGCGTGCCGGGCTGCCGGCTATACCAAAAATGATGAACGGCCGAGGATGAACGAGTAAGGCTGGTCATAGTGGGAGTAACATAGATAGTAACATAGATGCCACATAAGCAAAAATGATGATGTGACAAGTAGTTAATGAGGAGAGAGGCAAATAGAGTAACATAATATGTTACCATCACATAGCGGTTTCCAATGCATAATGAGTCTACAAAGTAATAAATGAAGGCAACTATGTTACCACACCTATGAGGCTGGTCATAGTGGGAGTAACATAGGTAGTAACATAGATGCCACATAAGCAAAAATAATGATGTGGCAAGTAGTTAATGAGGAGAGAGGCAAATAGAGTAACATAATATGTTACCATCACATAGCGGTTTCCAATGCATAATGAGTCTACAAAGTAATAAATGAAGGCAACTATGTTACCACACCTATGACACTACCCACTATGAAGGTAGTAACATAGACTAGTAACATATGTATGTTACTAGTCTAAGTTACTCCCCACTATGACCAGCCTGCCACTATCCACTATGAAGGTAGTAACATAGACTAGTAACATATGTATGTTACTAGTCTAAGTTACTCCCCACTATGACCAGCCTAAGCGCACCTCCGACGCTTGTCCCCGTAAACATCCCGACCGCTCGGTCTTTGAGCCCTCCAACATCATCCTTTAATATGTCTGCGGGCCGCGAACCAATTTGTGGTTGGATGGTTAGAGGTACTGTGGTATCCCCAGTCCATCAGGGTTCAAATCCTGCTCGCATTTATTTCTGAATTTATTTCAGGATTTCCGGCGATGCGCATTCAGTGGGAGGAGACGTTTCCGTCGACGACGAGGCGCCTACGGTGACTTCGTAAATCTCAAGGGGTGCTCATAGGGGTAGGGTTACGTGTGTGCGTTCATAGGGTGAGTGTATGCGTGTATATATGAGCGCCTGTGTCTGTATTGATGTTCAAAAAAAATATGTCTGCAGGCCAGTTTGATCGTCCAAATTCCCGCAAATCAAACACATTAATATACGCATCAAGGGCGCCTCCCCGCGATAGCCACGTCATTACAAATACGACAAAAATAAAACATGGTAGCGATTGGGTAGTGAGAGGAAAAAGGAGATCGGGGGGTCACGCCAGCCGCCGCTGCGTGTAAGGCGTGTAGATATCACTAACTGTGTTGATAAATCTCGACTGACATTAAGTCTCACTCGATGTGATATTCATATGATCTTACGCGAAGATCCATTTAATATTTTTTTTACTTTTGCTTTTTGTTTTTTTTACATGTTATGTCACTTGATTGAGACTTGGTTAAATCTTAGTCGACTGATATCTATCCACACCCTATCACAAATTGTCAGGAAGGTTGTAAAATGTCATGGGTCCATCTGCGCATGAGCCCACAAAAATGATCTAGATTGGACGTCATGTTTCTTGAACTCGGGTGAATAGTAAATTCTGAAAATCGAAAATAATTCAAAAAATTCTCTTTTTTTTGCGGAAAACATTGACAATTTTTCTAGATTCTTGCAAAATTTTATCATGAAACAACATTCGTGAAAGTCGTAGCAAAAAAGAAACCAATGGTCAAAAAATGCTATTTTCGAGTGGATTTTGGAGTGCTGATTTTGTTATTTTTGCCCGACTTTCACAAATATTCTTTCACGATGAAATTTTCTAAGCATCCACAAAAAATTTCAATGTTTGCCAACAAAAAAGATATGTTTTTTTCGAATTTACTGTTCATCCCGGAGTAGAATATGACTTTAGATCATTTTATTAAATCAGTTTATTTTTTCTGGTGGATGGTGATAGCTGTGTTCTTGATCTAAAATATTGATTCCTCTGAGCCCACGAATATCTCAGTTCGAACTTCGAAGACAAAAAACATGCTTTATTAGACATGAAAGAGAACAACCACGTACCGAAGGCAAATTCGGGGCCACCTTCCGTACGACGCTCCTGGCCAGCTCTTCGCCGCCGGGCAGCTTGACGAGGGAGCGGTCGAAGCACGGCGTCGTGGCCGGCGTCTCGCCCCGGCACGCCGCCGCCCACGCCTCAACGAACGTCCACAGCGCCCGGCCGTCGGCGACACCGTGGTGCACCGTCACCCCGACCGCCACGCCGCCCTGGAAGCGCGTGGCCTGCACGGCCAGCACGGGGGTCGGCAGCAGGCTCATGTCCACCTCCGGCACGAGCCCCTCGAGCACGCGCAGGTCGTGCTCCTCGTCTCCGGCCAGGCGCCCGATGTCTGCGTCGCACTCCGCGACGACGAACCGGACGCTGTCGGAGGCGGAGCAGCTGATGCCGACGTTCCCCGTTTCCTCGAGGTGGACCAGCTTGCCGGCGAGCGGCGCGAAGCTGCGCAAAGTCGCGGCGAGGGAGGAACGAAGCGACTGAACGATAGCGTCGAAGGGCGGCGTGTCGTCGTCGCCCTCGTAGAGCAGCACGTGCTGCAGCACCGGGATGACGATCCACAGCGCCTCCATGGCGGTCAGCTTGATCGGCCCCGGTGGCCGGACGGCGGTCTCCGGCACATCGACGTAGCTCGCGTCGACGATCCTCACCTGCGACATGGCCGGCCGGGGCGACGGAGGTCGCAGTTGCCAGGTAGAATTGCCCGCTGGCTATGGCTAGCGTGTGGAGCTGGGCAGCACACGGATGCACCGCACCTTCCTTATATGTGGCAGTACGTACGCCAGTCGATGGGCAGGACATAGAGAACACACAGCTTGTGGACGGAGACGGATCGGACGAATTTCTTGTGGATAGTCCTCCGGCGAATTTGTGCCGCGCCGTGATAGTGCTATGAGTCTATGACACCAACCTAGTACGCAAAGACAAAGGCCGCGTGCCGGCTATACCAAAAATGATGAACAGCCGAGGTGAAAGCAATGCTACATGCACGGGGTGATTACGGGGGTTTTACGGGGTGGATCCACTTGGAAGTTTGTGATTGGTCATTTGGAAAAATTGGCCCCATATCCTCCTGAAAATCTGGGGGCGGGCTGGTTTAGTTAGTTGAAAAGGCCCCGTAATTACTCTGTAAAGGTCCGTGAGTCTAGCATTTTTAGGATGAACGAGTAAGCGCACCTCCAACGCGGTCCCCGTAAACATCTAGACCGCTCGGTCCGGACTCTTTGAGCCCTCCAACGCCACCCGTTAATATATCTGCGGCTGGTTTGGTCGTCCAAATTTCCACAAATCGAAAGCAAGCTGGAAGGAGGTTTGCGGTAGTCCAGACGTCTACCACGTATACATGTTACTATTTGGTCTATTCATAGTCATCGTCGTGTGTCCCGCTTTAGAATTATCTTCACGCATTTATATCGGTCTCCGCTCTAGAGCGGAAACGACATGAGTGTACAGAAAGAATGGTTCAACTCAACACAATATTTGCATCCTCTCCCTCCCTGCCATCCTCGAGAAAGCGAATCTTGCTTGGCATGTTAACGGACACGAGCAAAAGATATACACAAACCATTTTGTGGACACAGGTTCGCAGTTCATTCGGGCACACAAAGACTAACAGCATCTCCAGCCAGCCGGGCCACTCATACATGTCTTAAACGTCCGGACATCCGGTAAAACAAAAAATCGATACAACCGGACCTCCCAAACCACGAAAAAACGCCCGGGTAGACCGGCACCCTTTATATCCAGCTCAAATATAGGACGGATATGGGACGTTCCGGACATGCCCGGACGCATCCGCCTGACAGGACTGGCCCATCACCGACCCCGCAAAGAACCCCAATCCGGGCGACGAGTTCAAACTCTAGCTCACTCTGTCCTTCTCTCGCTCCGTCCACTCCTCTTCCTCTTTCTTTTCGATCCCATCCACCACGATGAGCAGCTCCGGCAGCGACTCCGGCACGGAGCTCGACTACGAGGAGGAGATGCCCCTCCGGATTGCGCTGGAGCGGTCCAAGGTAGAGACCGGCCCACACAGTCTCGTTTCCCCGCCGGACGCTCCTCCACGCGGCCAACGTTGGGTGCTTGTGCCCGCGCTTCCGGCCCGCACGCGTACTCCGGAGTCAGAGGCGCGCGCCGCGAGAGGCAGCGTGCACGGGAGAGGGACGCGGCAGAGCAGTCCGCGTGCCGCCGCCGCGGGACCGAGTCAGATGCCGACGAGGACGCGCGTCTCCTCGCATGGGTGTACCGCCGCTCCTCACAACGGCGAAGACGGACGCTCGCCGCCTTCGACGAAAAAACGCCAAGGCCTTCTGGCTTGCTATTGAGCAGTCGGAGCGTGAGGCGAAGGTGGCAGTGGCTGAGAAGGCTCGGGTGACAAGGCTGAAGCGGGAGCAGGACATGGCGGTCTGTCGGATGAAGGGGCTCATCATCGTCTCCGACTCCGATGGCGGCGACAGCTGCACCTCCTCGTCCGACAACCAAGACCCTCCACCAGCCGCGGATGCCTACAGCTGCGCCGGCGACCGGAAGGGCAAAGGCCCGGCGAGGAACTGGTGATTCCGACCCCCCTCCTCCTCAATGTTTATATTGTTTTTAGTTGTAGAAGTTTATGAACTTGTCTGGGGATGAACTATGATCTTTTGGATGTGGTGAAGTATGTTAATGTCCGTTTGCAGCCGATCTTGTGTTCCTTTGCAGTCGATTTTTGTTGTCCGTCGTTTGATCATGCAGGATAGATCAACGTTTGCATATGTAGTATGGATATGAGATACGCGGATGCAGAGTGGCAAATATGAGGAGATCCCGGTCAATTGGCGTTTGAGGGGCCGGATTTGCCAACTGCGGCTGTAGATGCTCTAACCGAAGCAAATCCATTTTGTTTAGGAACTCCACTCTATGAGACCTTCACTACCTTTGGCAGCATCTACTGATTCAGAACTTAATTTGAACGACATATTTCGATCCAGACGCTTTTGGGATGTTTCTAATAACTAACGAATTTTGTTAGATCATATTTCAATTGGAACTTTCCGCATCGATCATTTTTATTATGTCTTGTTTTTACTCCTATATTGGGAGTTACTCTACGTATTGCTTGACATAAAACTAATAGTGGATTTGTTTTTGTCTTTTTGTTGAATCTTTTTCACGGCTCGATAGAGAATTTGATAAGCTGATGATCTTTTTTTCCGCCTTTCATAATACGGTTAACCATCATCTAAATTAATCGATACGAAAAAATTGGATTGGATTTTAGAATTCTTTTTTCTGCAATACCTCGATGTGACATGAGCAGTTTGCACGCGTCAGGTTTAGCCCACACATGTGGAGAGTGACAATTCCATTCCATACACGCAACCCGTCGAATCAACAGTTACTGAAAAAACATGTCTAATCAACAATGGTGTCATTTTCTTAAATAGCGATGCATTTGAAAAGTTGTACAGAATAGTAAGCATACATTTTTTTTGTTATAAAAGCCTTCATGACGGTTTTTATTCATACAGAAAAATTCTTGTATTGTTTGTGATCTCAACCATAAGAAATGCACAAGGCTCCTCTTACCAAGCAGAAGGACTAGAGTTCTCCGACTTGCTAACACATTGCCGTCATATTAGCTTCCTTAGGACAAAATTCAAAGGAACTATCACTAAACTCATGGCAGAGAAAAAAACAACCGTCCTAGATCGCCGCCGCATGCCCTAGTGAATGTCCACCCATTCTTCGTGAAATTCCTAACTTTCATACAACCGAAATTTACCACGAGCCTGTTGCACCCCATATAATTTGCTAAGGAAAGGTCGTCCAGCGGAGCCATCGCCTGTGCCGTCGTCGCATCGCTAGCAGCATCAAGGGCGTGTTTGGTTGCCTGTGTGAGGTCCAACCAGGCCCGCACAAGAAGGATTCGGCCTGTTTGGTAGCCCGCATACACTATTGGGCCTGCATCGCACGCTTCTTAAAGCATCTCAGGGCCTGGCTCACTGGAAACGCATCGAATCGGCGGTTTCTCTAGGGCCAGGCCCGAGCGGTGCACGTGAGTGGGCGGCTACACGCGCGTGGCCACGCTCGAGAAGCCGCGTTGCTTCCCGAAGCACCGGCAGTTATTAGCCTCACCGCCCCTCACCGCTCCCTCTTCCCACTCTCCCAACTCTCACCGGCGGCGGCGGATCGGAGCAGAGGAAGAAGACCACCGGACTCCATCACTGGCGGCGGCGGATCGGAGCAGAGGAAGAAGACCACCGGACTCCCCAATGACGGTAAGCACTTCTCTCTCTTCCACATGAACGCTAGATTCGATCCATGGCGATAGATTCGATCCACGGCGGACGAGAATGGGGAATAGAGGTAGCTAAGCATAGGGGTAAATCATACTAGTTCATAGCAGTTCATACATGCAAGATCGGTAGATTTAGGGATTGGGAGATAGGGGAATAGGGGAAAAGGGGGTACAGAACGGACACCGGCTGACCGCGGCGGCCGTCACCGGCGTGCGGAGCGGCTGGTCGAGCCGCTGGCCTTCATCTTCTTCTTCATCGCCGTGCAGGCCGGCTGGTCGTCCTCGTCGTCCTTGGCGGAGTCAAGGTCGATCTGCCAGGTAGGACGGACTGGCTCCGGCGCCCTACCTGGCATGTGCACCGCCTCTTCTTCCTCCTCCTTAGGCTCCCCGCTGATGACCGCCGGCGGCATGATACCCGTCTCCCAGTATAATGCGGCACGGCGGTCATTAGGAGCAAAGTAGGTCTTGTACTTGCACCACTTCCTCATCTGTTTAGGATCGTCGGAGACGGCCTGATTCATGGCCCAGCGAAGGATGTCAACTGCCATCGCGCCCTTCGCTGGGTCAGGAATCAGCGTCTTCAGCTCATCTTGAGTGGCCTTCATGAGCACGACATTGGATTCGTTCTGCATTGCCGGCATGGAGCCGAAGTTCGAGCACACCTCCATGGTGTTCTCGAACTTGGTCCGGTCACCAGTCGTCCACCCGAGGAAGAAGGCCCTCCAGCCAATACCCCAAGGGAAGGGGTTGCCGTTGGAGCTGGAGCTAGAGCTCATGGCGATGGGGAGGAGGAAGGGACAGTGAGAGAAGAGAGGGGGTGGGTAAATAGTGGTGGGTAGGGTGAGTAAATATAAGGGGGGTGGAGAGGAGGAGAAGAGTGACAGTCATTCCGTTTTAACTGCAAGCTCTTGAATTAGCCATGAACTCTGTGCAATGCCTGACTCCATGACTTGTGTGCAGATCGAGGATAGCAATGCGATGGGCACGGAGGTGCTCCCGACCGTTGACAGCAAGGGCAAGCAACCCCTGTCGTGGTTCTAAGTCTGACAGTAGAATGGGGGGTAGGTATGGAGAGGCAAGATCCTAGCTATGGAGTAGTTGTATACGCAAGGGATTTACGAGTTCAGGCCCTTCTCGGAGGAAGTAACAGCCCTACGTCTCGGAGCCCGGAGGCGGTCGACTGGATTATGTGCGTATGAGTTACAGAGGTGCGAACCCTTTACACTGAGGAGGGGGTGGCTTATATAGTGTCTGCCAGACCCCTCCGGCCCTCAGTTATGCAGGGTTTAAAGTACATAAAGATGGGCGTTATCAGTAACGCCTTACATAAAGTGTCATCATGGCCATAAAGACTACTTAATTACAGACCGTTTGGATGCAGAG